TAATGGCCTTCTTAAAATTGGGTTGAGTTTAGCTTGACTATGTGTTTTCTTTTCTTTTTCAACCTCTGATGGCTCATATTCCAACTAGTATGATTCAAGTATTCCAGTGCAGTAAAGGATCCAAACTATGTCCCTTAGGTAGATAAATAAATAGAGACTGGAATTCTTTAGAGCTGCCAAACTGACCTTTTCTATCAGCCGCTAAACTCCCTTAAAAATGGTGCAGAGATTTGAGGCCCTGAGTTGAGAGGAGGAAAAAAACTGAGATATTTGAGTTAAAAGATCCAGGAGACTCTATCCTGTTTGGTTGTTCATTCTGTGTATTAATTTTTAATAAGGAAGTGAACCCCAGATGACAGAACTGATTTTCTTTTATTGGGTGACTGTTGAAATCTCTTCCATTGTTTAAATCAGGTTAAATAAGAAAAAATGATGCTCTGTAAGTCTGGCCTCTGGGTCTCTGGTCTGTATGCAGAGATTTCTACTTAATACCTATTTCTGTTTCTCGGGCATCCTCATGACACCATCTTCTAGAAAAAAAGGAAAATATATAATGCAATCAAAGCAACTTTTAATTTTTCTTTTTTTGGCAGGGAGAATACAGGCTTAAGTAGAAGACTCCATTTCACCCTTTCTGGGAATTTATTTTTTTAAACTCAGTATAATAATATTCCATGTACATCCACTACCAGGGATATTAGCTGCACCCAGTCAGCACCACCCACAGGGATCGACTGGGCTGGAGACCTGGGAAGGGAGAAACCAGTCCTTTACGCTCTGTGATCTGTTGGCAAGTGAACGCCCCCAGTCCTGTTGGCCTTTGTGCCGCAGTAGTTTTGTTGGTGCACATTTGTATTTTAGATAAATATGTTGGGTTATTATTTGAATTTCAGATTGAATTTCCTTTACCATTTTCTTTATGAAAATGTATACATTGAACTTTTTATGCTTGAAGATAAATATTAATATCAAGATTGACTCTGATGGTCTCTTTTACTCCCTATTCATTTACCATAGGAATGGTAAAAATTCATTTATTCACCTACGACAATGGCATTTAAGACCTTGAAATGGAGACAATTTGGGAAGTCACTTGTGCCATAAAATTTCCAAACACAGAAGAAGGGCCAGTGATTCAGTCTTTATTGATTGATTGGTTGATTGATTTCAATTTCTTCTCCAGCTTTATTGAGGTATAACTGATGTGTTAGTCCGTTTTGCATTGCTATAAAGGCAATACCTGAGGCTGGGTAATTTACAAGGAAAATAGGTTGATTTGGCTCACAGTTCTGCAGACTGTACAAGCATGGTGCCAGCAGCATCTGCTTCTAGCAAGGGCTTCAGGGGGCTTCCAATCAAGGTGGAAGGCAAAGTGGGAACAGGTGTGTCACATGGTAAAGGACAAGAGAGGGAGGATGAGGTGCCAGGCTTTTCTAAACAACCAGTTCTCCTGTGTACTAGCAACATGAGAACCCACTCATTATCGCAGGGAGGGTACCAAGACATTCATGAGGGATCTGCCCCCATGACCCAAACACCTCCCACCAGGCCCCACCTCTAACACTGGGGATCAAATTTCAACATGAGATTTGGAGGGGCCAAATGTCCAAAGCATGTCAGTTAACAAATAAAAATGGTATATGTTCAAAGTGTTCATGTGATGTTTTGATATCGTTGTGAAATGATTGCCACAATCAAGCTAATTAATATATTTATCACCTCACAGTTACCATTTTTTGGGTGTGTGTGGTGAGAACACTTAAGATCTACTCTCTTTGCAAATTTTAAATGTACAATCCAATTTTTTTTAACATGCTTTACAGTTATTCACAATAGGCAAGATACAGAAACAACCTAAGTATCTAAGGATGGCTGAATGGATAAAGAAAATGTGGTATATGCACAGAATGGAATACTATTCAGCCTTGAAAAATAAGGGAATCCTGTTATTTGTGACAATATGATGAACCCGGAGGACGTAATGGTAACTGAAATAAGCCAGGCACAGAAAGACAGATGCTGCATGATCTCACTTACTTGTGGAATCTAAAAAAAGTCCAAGTCATAGAAGTGGAGAGTAGGATGGTGGTTGCCAAGGTTGGGGAGATGTTGGTCAATGGGTACAAAGTTTCAGTTGTTACAGGATGAATAAATAAATTCTGGAGATCTAATGAGTCAGTCTTCACTGAAAGAGAATTCCATGTGCTTAAAGCAGACCCTGTAAAATATTTGGCTAGGACCTGAGACAGTCTCTCCCCGTAGGCACAGCTCAGCCATCTTTGCCCCTGAATCACGGAGGGTGTAAGGGATCTGGAAACCACCATGCTGCTCATCTGCCTGGATGCTTCAGGGATGCCCCCTCACCCTTGATGAATTAATGAGCTTAACAGTCATCTTTTAACAATGAGAAAGCAGTGTGAACATAAAAAAAATCCAGAAAATTCAATATTAATATAAATGTATTTCAGTTAATTCAGCCCAGTTGGTCTGCAGAGGTCGATGTCTCTATGTTGCAGAACCACAGAGGACAAGCCAGCCTCGGTGGCTTCTTTTACGGCTCTTTGCCATTGGTTGCAAGATGAATCCAAGGAGAGGGCATAAATATAATGAGGACAAATTAAAAATGAAAAATCCTGTACTTTACCAGGAAATTGGTTAGTATCACGCTCCCAGGATGGATCAAGAGAAACTTCATTTGCTCTGAAAAACATTACATTTTGAAACAATTTAGCTAGTTACTTCAGGGGACAAAAGGAAGGAAGAGGTGAGTATTGAGTGCCAGACACTATTCTAAGTGTTTACTCATTTAATTTTTCCCAAACTATTATAAAATAGGTGCTGTTTTTTTCTCTGTTTTCAAATATGGAAACTGAGGCAGAAAAGAATTTTGTAACTTTGCCAAGGCTCAGCAGCCAGTTAGAAGCAGAACTGGGATGTGAACCCAGGCTGCAGTGAGCTGTGATCACACCACTGCACTCCAGCCTAGGTCCCTACAAAAAAATTTAAAAGTCCCCCAGGGGGACTTAAGCTCCACAGACTTAAGCTCTCAAGCTCCACAGAATTCTTGGTCCCACCTCAGTTGCCGGGGTTAAGGTAACTGTCCCTTCTACCTTTCTTTGTGGGTTCTTCCCCCTGCCCGTGCTAACTTAGGTGAGAAATGAGTTATTTTCCATTTTTCTTAAGTCCCCATTGGGACAGGTGTGGAGCTTTTTAAGGGACACTTACTCAAAAATAAGAGAGCAGGAAGATGGTATAAAGTTAGAAAAGAGAAAATGGAAAAGTAGAGAATAGATGAGGTTAAAGAGCAGGAATGTTTCCCCTTCATCCATACATTATTTATTAAGTCCACCCTGCATGGGTCTAGGCCTTCACAGAGTTCCTGATCTGAAATTTATTTTTTTTAGAGACAGGGTCTTCTTGGCCTGTCACCTAGGCTGGAGTGCAGTGGTGTGATCACAGCTCACTGCAGCCTTGAACTCCTGGGCTCAGGGATCCTCCTGCCTCAGCCTCTGGAGTAGCTGGGACTATAGGCACATGCCACCATGCCCGGCTAACTTTTTAATTTTTTTGTAGAGATGGGGGTCTCGCTATGTTGCCCAGGCTGGTCTTGAACTCCTGGCCTCAAGCAGTTCTCCCGCCTTGGCATCCCTCAGTGCTGGGATTACTCTGCGCTTTGGATTCCAGACTGCGCTCGGTCTCTGATCTAGAATTCAAACGGGCCGTTGCTGAGCACACAGAAGCCAGGGTGGGAAAGGCTTTATGTGCTTGGCATTCTTGGGGTTTTCCAGAGTCAGCCAACAGGTTCTCACCTTTTTGTACCAGCCCCTAGGGGTTCCTCTGAAGTTACCCCAGCCCCTCACGTGGCACCGTGCCACCTCTGCTTCCCTAGTCTCTTTCATGCCATCTGTAGCAGCCCCAAAGTCTGTCCTTGCCCTAGTTCGATCCTCTCTGTCCTGCTTGGCTTGTCACCATGTGATCGTGAGGATGGCTGGTCTCTGCCGCCTCACTTCCTAAGTGACAGTCTCATCTGCTATGGGCCACCAGCTCCGGAGCTGCGTGATAGAGCTTTTTTCGGGGTCCGGAGGCTTCGCTCTCTGGGCTACCTCCTACCTCCTAAGGGCTCTGCTGTCTGTCTGAGGGACACTCTCCTTTTTAGCTTATTGGCAGAGCTGCGATGACTTAGAGGTCCCCGGCTCAGTGAATAAGCAAGTTCTGGCCATTTTTTTCCTCTTAGATTCAACCTCTCTCTTGGATGCCTCCAGGGAAATTTCCTGCCACATTTCAGCCACTGCTTTTTTTTTAAGTTAAAAAGAAAATATCTCACAAGCAAAACTTTTTTTTTTTTTTTTTTTTTGGTACAGGCACAATATGCAGTCTCACCGCTAGTAAGGGGAATGCTCTCCTTAGATCAGTGACAGATTTTTTTTTTTTTTATTATTACGCAGGGAACACTCTCCATCTGTATTTATTTCTATTCTTCATCCTTTAAGTTAACCAGTTAATTAAATAATATTGATTGAGCACATACTAGGTTCTAGAGATGGTCAAAAGCAAACACATGCACATGCTCCTGCTTTTGCTCTTGCAAGAGCAAGAATTCCTTCTGCATATGCTTTCAATCGTGTTTAAAGCACACATACATATCAGAGGCTAATTAATAGTATAAGGCAGAACCAGTTAAGTGCCAAATGGGTGTCAGACAGTTTTATAAACAACACACAAACCTTTATTTGTACAAAAGCAAAAGCAGGCAACCTTGTTTTAGGAGAGGAGTTATTGCCCCACAACTCAGGAAGGTCTTAAAAAAAAATCATACAGAAATGCACTTTTCATCTCTATTTCTGTTTTTCACTTTTTAAGTAATCGGCTACTTAATATTTATTAAGTATTTGTTCTATCTAAGCCAAAGTGGGGGAAGGAAGGAGATCATTCCTGTGTTTATGATTTCAATTTTCTTTAAAGTGCATTCATAAAAGATGAGTTAAGAAAATAAGGACAGCTTGCTCTTGCCACGTGCTGGTGTTGGAGGACCCTCCCTGCTTCAGATTTACCAATAGCATGAATCAAGAAAAGTTAGCCAAACTTCAGGCTCAGGTCAGGATAGGGGGCAAGGGTACAGCTCGCAGAAAGAAGAAGGTGGTACATAGAACAGCTACAGCTGATGAAAAGAAGCTTCAGAGTTCTCTTAAAAAACTGGCTGTGAATAATATAGCTGGTATTGAAGAGGTGAACATGATTAAAGATGATGGGACAGTTACTCATTTCAACAATCCCAAAGTCCAGGCTTCCCTGTCTGCTAACACCTTTGCAATTACCGGTCATGCAGAAGCTAAACCAATCACAGAAATGCTTCCCGGAATATTAAGTCAGCTGGGTGCTGACAGCTTAACAAGCCTTAGAAAGTTAGCTGAACAGTTCCCACGGCAAGTCTTGGATAGCAAAGCATCAAAACCAGAGGACATTGATGAGGAGGATGATGACATTCCAGATCTTGTAGAAAATTTTGATGAGGCATCAAAGAATGAAGCTAACTAAAATTTTTTTCTGGTTTTTTGGAAGCTGGCATGGACTAGATTTAACAAATCAGCTATGTGGTTCCAAAGTTTCACAGACACAGAGAACATCACCTGTTACTAGTTCAGTAATATAAATATTTTGTATATTAATAATGCTGTTTGTTCAGCATTTTTCGGTCATTTGATTTTGCATTTCGCACTTCCTCCCAGGATCTGTTCTTTGGGTCAAAATATGAAGTATTGGTGCAAAAAAAAAAATAAAATAAGGGCATATCAAATGGGTGTCTCATGGGCTTCTCGACAGGAGGTGTCATAGGAATTTAGAGGCCAAACAGATCGCTGTGGGCTGCGGTCGTGTGCGAAGGCTTCGTGGTAGATGGGGGCTGAGATGGCCCCTAAAGATGGCCAGAATTTAGGTAGGAAAATGAAGGATAAGACAGACAGGTGGGGAGAATGCCCAAAGAGAACAAGGGATGGGAGAGGGAGTAGATCAGTCTACCTGGAGTTGAGGGTCTGTTTGTGGGAGAGGTTGTGGGGAGGGAGGTGGTACTGTTTAGACTGGAGAAGCATCTAAGAAGGTCAAAAATCTATTTCTGCCCACACCTGCTACCCTGCATGCATGCACATACACATCCCCAAACTGTCCTTCCCTATTTAATGCCTCTTCCTTCTAAATACATCCGGGAGGTTTACACTTACTGCTCGTTTAGTAAGGAGGCTGGGCATCAGTAAATGAAAACTCGGATGTTTTTATTCTAGTTTTGATCAGGTGACCTGAGAGAATGAGATTTTTAAAAAAATTTTGACAGGTAAACTTTTGTTTTATTGTCATAAAATACACATACAGAATTTACCATCATAACCATTTTTAAGTATGCAGTTCAGTAGTGTTACGTATATTCACATTGTTGTCCAACAGATCTCCAGAACTTTTTCATCTTGTAAAACTGAAACTCTGTATCCATTAAACAACCGAGAAAATGTTTTTTGAGCACAGGGGTGCTTTCTGGGGTGGCAGAAGTGGGAGCTGAAGCTTTTACATTACAGGGCCTTGTAGCTGGGATTGCGGGTGCCTGGTAGGAGCTGAGAGGCCATCCAAGATGAATGTATCCATCAGAAATTGTGCTTAGAGTTAGAAATTGCTTAGTGGATGTTACTGTTTTTTAAAAATTTATTTTGGATATCCAGCCTCTGAACCATGCCCTACATTTGGGGACCTCACCGTTGTGGGCGTCACGCCACCTCGTACAACAGAAGCTGAAGAGGTCAGTACCCGCTTTCCCTGCACCCTGCTGCCCAGGGCACGAACTTGACCTTAGCACAACCAGTCCTACTCTGGCCTGGCACTTTGAACCTGGAGTGAACACTGGGAAGAACGGGGGACAGGTTAGAGCTGACTCAGGTGTTGGTGTGGGGTTATCCTAACTGCTCCCGTGTGTGCCTGGGCTGTGGGCTTCTAGCCACCGCTTTCCTGCCCCATGTTCCAGGCCACATTCCCCAGTCTCCCTGTCGGTTCTGTGAGTATCTGTCAACTCAGTTGGTTTCTGTTGCTTGCAGCCAGGAGCTCTGCCTGGCTCTGTTGTCCCTGTGTGGTCACCCATGCCTTTATTAGTCTGCATCGTCCCGGGCTGAGGCTCCTGAAGGGATTCTTAGTCTCTTGTGGCCACAACGTCACCTTCACTGCAAGTGCATTAGTTGGGCTCCTTGTCATTGCTCACCTGGACTAGTTAGGGGCTCTTCTCTCCCGCCCATCTCCCACCTTGCTGGTTTGTAGTAGGCCTGCAGGGAGCAGTGATACTCCATCATCCCTGCAAGGTGCCTGCCTTTGGCTTGGACTTGTGGGACTTGGCTGGCGTCCCCATTGTGTTACATTTGGTGCTTGGAAGCAAGCATCCCTCAGTAGTGACAAGGGTCCAGCAGTCCCTTTCATTAGTGCCCTGCCAACGAGGTTTCCTCCCTCCAGCACCTCCTTCCGCCTGCCCCAAAGGCCATCTTCCTAAAAGTCTGCCCTGCTGCTATCCCCCTGTAAGACAAAGCCAGCTCAGCACTTTCCCTCCGTCTTCATCTTACACTGCTCTTTCCACGCGATGGTCTAGCCCGCTGAGTTTTCCCACACCGTTGCTTAGATGTGCTGTGCCTTTTACACCTGTGGCTTTGCAGGTGCTGTTCCCTCTTCTTCCTTTCTTTGCCTGGCAAATGCTGCTGGTTCATCAGCCATCTCTCCTCTCTGAGAGCTTTTGTGACTCTTTCAGCTGTTATTGGGCCCTGGGCGGTAGCCCTCCAGGGGCTACTTTATTGCAAACCTTATTGCAGGTTTGGCCGCACGGTGGTAGGGAAGGGATCGCGTCTTAATCTGCCGGTGAGTTTCTAAGCACCGTGCCTGTGTGCTGTTGTGGAACGAATATTCAGGCAGACTCATTCGTGCCTGGATGATGATGGCTGTGAAGGGTTCGCCACATTCCCTTCTCCCTAGAGGCCTTCTCCAAAGGTCTGATGCTAATGCTGGGAATTCCAGGCATTCTGGCAGACCCTCGGGGGAGAAACTGCGGTGCAGAAGGGCCTTCTGGAACCCACAAATGAGGGTTGCTGCTCACAGCTTGTGACTCATTCCTCTTCCTGACATCAGATTCTCAGTTCTGGCAAACACAGTTGGGTGAACCCTGACCTAGCCCAGCTGCCTTCTTCATGTTGTGTTTAGGGAAGACTCAAATGTTTATTGAGCATCTACTGCATTCCAGGCACTATTCTAGGTGCCTGAGATCCACTGTTGAACACACACTCTGCCCTCATGGGGCTTAGAGTCCTGAGGGGCAGACCTGATCCAAAACAGACATTAAGCGAATCGCACTGCATGTTAGAAGGTCCTAAGTACCGTGGGGTGGGGGGCATGAGAATAGAACCGGATCCGGGAGTTGAACGAGGGAGTGAGTTTAAATGCAGTCATCAGAGTGAGTTTTCTTTAGACGGTGGCAGTTGAGACTTGATGGGGGCGTGGGAGTTAATGCAGGGGCTCCGAGGCAGAGGGAACAGCCTGTGTGAACGCCTAGGCGGGAGTGTGCTGGAGAGTTCAAGGAACAGAGAGTGTAGGAGGATGGGGGAGCCGTGGAGAGGCGGCCAGAGGGGTGGGGGTGCAGGCTGAGCAGGCCTTGGGGGCTGTGGAAAGGACCGGGCCTCTTGCTGTTTGCCCTCGGGGAGTCATGGCAGGGCTTCGAGCTGAGGGGTAATTGGTTCCAATTTTCACTGGACACTGTGCTGAAAACAGACAGGCGAGGGCGGGGCAGGGAGACCAGCTCTCCTGTGCCAGCTCAGGCAGCACCTGTGTGGCTCACGGCAGGGTGGCAGCAGGTAGAAGTGATGCAGGGCGGTGAGACTCGGGATGTTTGGTGGGCGGGGGCCGGGATTTCCTCATGGCTCTGATGAGGGCTGCAACGGAAAGGGAGTCAGGATCATCCCGCGGGTTCTGGCAGGTGGATGACGTGTCTGTCAACCAAGATGGAGCAGGGCTGGGAGGAGTGAGGTTAGGAGTTTGGTTTTGGAAACGTGGAGGTTTCTGACGTCTTTTAGAGAGTCAAGGGGAGCTGTCGGGAGGTGGTTAGTGTGGGGTTCCCGCAGAGGGAGAAACTTGTCCATGAGGAATTGCATTTCTCAGTGTGTTATATATACATTATCCCTTTCTCAAACATGGTGTTTTGGTCATTCCGGCTGCTGTAACAAAATGCCATAGAGCGGGTGGCTTATCAACAACAGAAATTTGTTTCTCACAGTTCTGGGGGCTGGGAAGTCCAAGATCAAGGAGCTGGCAGATTTGGTGTCTGGTGAGGGTTCATAGATGGCCGTCCTCTTGCTGTGTTGTCACATGGTAGAAGGGACAAAGGATCTCTCTGAACTGTTTTATAAAGACACAAATCCCATTAGTGACCTGATCACCTCCCAAAGGCCCCACCTTCTAATGCCATCACGTTGAGGGTTAAGGTTTTGACATATGAATTTTGTTTTTGGGTGCGGGGGGACACGTTCAGTCTGTAGCACACAGGGAGGATAATTTGGATTAAGAAATCTAAGACCATATGGGGGAAGTAAAAGGTTGGAGGACTAAAGGATGAACCAATAAGAGTCTTATAAGCATTATTATGTTTACTAAAATAAAATAGACCAGCACATTAAATAATGACATCAAAATATCAATGACAATATATATTGTATACATCTTAACTTAGAAGTTATGGGTGCTGTGCTGGGAGCCTCACGTGTGAGCCCTTGCTCATTAGAAAACGCGGCAGGATCTCACTGCCCTGCAGTGTTAGTGGTACCGAGATGCATACAGACTGACCTCGCTCTGTCACCGATGACAGGTGCCAGCACTTCCAGTTTCTGGTTCTGAGTTGGTGACTTCCATTTCCAGTGTCTTGCCCTTGAGTCCAATCAGGCTCTGGTGTGGTCTCAGAGGTGTAGGAGGAGGCTTTGGGGAGGTCCCTTCCCGAACCCCAGTGCCATGCAGTCTTAGTTCTGCCGCCCCCTTAGATGGCCGTCCCCTCCTGCACGGGCACCTGTCTCCTTGCCCGGGTTTCTCCAGGGCTTTATACTCCCTAATCTTCCTTTATTTTTCTTGCAGCATTATTGAAAGACCTCTGCTCCTTCTCGGGTCTGCTTTACCTCCTGGTAAAAAGGTTCCAGTCTTGAGCTCACGGTTTTTCTAATTTTCTCCTGTGGGAGTAATGAGAAGCAAACATCTTTATTTTTTAATTTTTAAATTTTTTTAAAATTTCAGAGTATTATGGAGGCACAAACGTTTAGGTTATGTGTATTGCCTCTGCACCGCCCGAGTCAGAGCTACAAGGGTGCTGTCCCCCAGACAGTGCGCACCGCACCCATTAGGTGTGAATGTACCCATCCCCTCCTCCCCCTCCCACGACACCCTTTGAATGTTACTTCCATATGTGCACGTAAGTACCAATTATGTGCCAATTGATTAATTAGTACCAATTTGATGGTGAGTATATGTGGTGCTTGTTTTCCATTCTTGTGATACTTCACTTGGGAGAATGGGCTCCAGCTCCATCCGAAAGCTAAACATCTTTTGATGGTGCTAGAAACCTCTGTGGAAGCTGGTTTAGCTCTACCCCAATTTTGCATAATAGGGAACT